CTAGTGCTTTCCTCATACTCATCTCCCTCAAGGTAAATACCAGCAATCTGAAAGCCATCCCAGCTTGTACTGTGGGCTTCTGGCCTAGATTCTTTCCCTTCTTTGATTAACCAGCAGAGATAAAGACTACTGAAGAGGCCAAGTTTCCATTCAGGAGGCTGAAGATAAAACGAGCTCCAACTGTTCTGAGAGGATCATAATTCCTAGTTTATACTGAGGTTTTCTGTTCTACAACTGTAAAATGTCCATTCTAGTGAAATTCCATACATTCAGATTTCTTACCTACTGGATCCCAAGTCAAATTTAAAGACTATTTTAACTATGTCTTCATGGAAGGGCCAGGGTCAAACAATCCATTCTTTGCAGTGTCTAAAGGTGAGTTAAAACCCTCTACTACACAATAGCTTCTGCCACTGCTACTCAAGACAGGAGTGGGTAAGATGGTTGTGAGGGTAAAGATGCTTGCTGTGTAAGACTGGCAGCCTGAGTTCGATACCTGGAACCCATGTAACACTACACAGAGAGTACCCATTCCACAAATTTGTCCTTTGACTCCTGTTATAGTTACTTCCTATTGCCATGATAAAAAAAAAAAAAAAAAAAAAAAAAAAAAAGGTGATCAAAACCAATGCGGGGAGGAAAGGGTTTATTTGGCTTACATTCATCATCAAGAGAAGCCAAACTCAGGGCAGGAACCTCAAGCACAGACCATGAAGGAACACTGCTTACTGGCTTGCTCCCTTAGCAGGTGCTAAGCCTGCTTTCTTATACAACCCAGGACCACCCACCCAGGGGTGTCCTTGCCCACAGTGAGCAGGGCCCTCCACATCACTCAACAATCAAGAAAATGCACCACAGACATGGCCACAGGCCAGTCCAGTGGAAGAAATTCCTCAATCGAGGTTCCTTCCACTCAGGTGTGTCAAGCTGGCAACTGCAGCTATCCAGCACACCCTCCACAATGCATGTGCACATACACTCAAGCATAAACACACAGATAATAAATTCATATTTGTTTTTAAAAGACAAGCATAAGTGAAGTCAAGAATCATTCCAGGGGGCTGGAGAGATGGCTCGGCAGTTAAGAGCACTGGCTGTTCTTGTAGAGGACCCAGGTTCAATTCCCAGCACCCACATGGGGGCTAACAACCATCCATAACTCCAGTTAGCATCACACAAGTGCACTTACATACATGCAGGCAATACTCTCATACACATTAGAAACAAAAATAATAGACTATTATTGCTAAAACCATCTTAAAGCTATGCATGCTGTCAAGTGCGGTAGGCATCTGCTAGTTTTGCCCACCCAGCACCTATTCCCCTAACATGCAAAAGCATCTGAAGTCTCCTTTGGAAAACCACTTCTTGACTTCACTAAGCACATGTGGCCCATGGGTAGCCAGCTAGATGGCTTAACTACATCTCCTGTGTCCAAGGCCTGGAGAATCAAGTCATTCTTGTGACCAAAAAGATGCAAGTAGGAATAAGCCCAAGTTCAATTAAAGTTTATCAGGGAACTTTTGCTAGAGTCACCAAGAAGGGAACTCTTCCTCTTCCAATTAGTTTAGAAAGAGAAGAGATACTAACTGGCAACAGCCAAAACTAAAGGAGATGACCCAAGGGATGGTCAAGGACAGACCCAGAGATTCTGCCTGATGCCTTGGATCCAGCTGTGTCTAAGTCCATACGGATTCCCAAACTTCTCAAAGTCTATAAATGTCCTCTTCTTCACTGTTGTTTTCACGTTCCAGTAGAATTTTGTCCTGCACACAAAAACTAAGCAGGCCAGCAAGGTGGCTCAGTAGGTAAATGCATTTACCACCAAGTCCAACAACCTGAGTTCAATATGCAGGACCATATGGTAGAAACTGAGAACTGGGTCCTACAAGTTGTCCCCTAACCTCAACATGTGCACTGTGGTATGTAGACACACACACACACGAATGAATGAATGAATGAACGAATGAAGTTGAATTTTTAATGAAATTAGCTCACACGCAACTTTGTGCAGCTCTTCCAATTCCTTCTTTCTACTCCTTAAACTTAAAAGCCTCAACAGAAAGCTGGATGAATAACAAGAGAAATAAGATCTCAGAATCTGTCCACCAACTACTTGCTGCTTTAGCTATGTACACAGGGCTTTTTGGTTCACACCACAGACAGACATTATTAGTAGAGGAAACTTTCTTCCCGTGCTGAAATTTAATTCATGAAGCCTCAGTTGCCTCAGCTGTAAACTCAAAGATAATACACTGCACAGAATTCTTGGGAGTGTGAATAAGGCAGGACATTTTTACAAAGGTTTCTTTTAAAAGTACTCAATATTCTTTACTCCCAAGGAACTTTCTCAATATTGCAACCACCAAAAAAGACAACAGATCATTCCAGGAATTGTTGCAGAGCACCAAAAATAAGTTATGCACTTGGAGGGTATAGAGATGAAAACAGGTCTAAAACTGTGTCCATTGTGGAGTAAGATAACAGGCAACCACAGTAAACAAAACAGACAAGTTGCCATTGTGCAATGACAAAATGCGACTTCTAGGACTGAAAAATCAACTCCTGGAAAAAAGGTTTTATAAAATAGATACCCATCAACTGTACCTTTACACCTGAGGAAACATCCCCAGACAGGAAAACACTGTATTATCTACACATACAGGCTATGCATCTGTATATACTGGCATGCCACATGAATATTTAGCATCTCCATTCTAAATACCTTCCTTCTCAAACAACTCTTCTATAAGTTCATGGATATTAAAACATTTTTCTTGTTACAAAATAATACATAATAGAGAAAGATATTAGGGAAATTTTCTCTGTGAGAATTACATTTATTTTACTTGTGTGGTGTGTGTGTGTGTGCAAGTACGTGTGCATGGGTGCAGGTGCAGACGCCAGAGGTCAACACAGGAGTCCTCCTCTACCTTATTCACTTAAGACAGGATCTCTCACTGAACCTGGAGCTCCCCATTTTTCCAGCTAGGCCAGCTGGCTGGTCAGCAAGCCCCCAGCTATCCTGTTTGTGTCTCCCACTTCCACCCCACCCCACCCCCAACACTGGGGTTACAGGCATTTGTGGCCAGGCCCAGCTTTTTACGGGAGTGCTAAGAATCTGAATTCAGGTCTTCATGTTTGCTCAGCAAGTACTCTTACTGAGCCTTCCTAGCTGCAAGAACTGTTTTCTTGGCTGTTTTTGTTTTTGAGACAGGGTCTCACTATGTAGCCCTGGCTGGCCTGGAACTCACTACGTAGACCAGGCCAGCCTCTAACTCACGGAGATCTGCCTGCCTTTGCATTCCAAATGTTGGATTTGAAAGTGTATGCAACCATGCCAGGCTCAAGAATTGTATTTTTTGAACCAGAGGGAATTTAAGTCAAAATTTTAAATATGTATATTGTTTCTTAGATGATTCATATTGCCATAGCTTTTCCATTGAACTGTAAAACTCTTATAGCCCAATGCTATTTACTTTGTGTCCCTCATTTTGCAAGTGTTCATCATATAAAATTATATACACACATACACAAACACACACACACACCTAAATAGTGTGACACTGAAAAGTATAAAAACTATTACTCCCAGAAAACCTTAAATCATGTTTCTCAGAATACATTATGCACTCCTACAATGTGCTTTGGGGTGTCCTTAACATTACAGAAAATAATATAAGACCAGCCAAGGATGACCAGAGTAGCATGCAGTTGGAGTACAAAACCACTCTTAGAGGCATCAAAATTGTACATCTTGTAAACCCAACTGAAGAGACGACAGCACTCCACATCTCATTTTTGTAATCTATAGAAAGATGGAGCATTCAAAAATGAGGAGTGTTAGTACCAGAAGGCCTAGACAGAACTTGGAGGCAGATGGATGCATATATGCAAATAAGCCAACTGCCCTAATAGTATATACAGCATACACATCAGGGGAAGTCTTCTTTAGAAAAATGGAGAGAAGGTCAGTTACCCTGCTAGTTAGAGAACAGAAATCAGGATTTCTCATCATACACCAGTAATGCAGAGTATCTGCCCTGTCATTTAAACACAGGATGAGGACATAAAGAGATGCCCAGCTACCAACTTCCAACCCTCTATGTCTGAGAAACTAACCATGGTTCATCTTCCACACCCACAACCCAGCTGGAGAGTGAAATCTGCAGATACACATTGTTAATAATTGCCATGCCACAGCGAATACACAGTACTGTGGCAATATATGGAAATACTGAAGGAAGGACGGGAAAGGTTAGGTAAGGCCTGCAAGGAAACTTACCCTATTACCAAGTCCTGAACACTGGTGAGAATTAACATTGAGAATCTAGCTATAGGAAAATAAAAAGTGCTACTCGGAAGCCCTGGGGTGAATTCCCACTACTTGAGTCCACAAAAGCACCCAAATATATGAAGCATCTGGTGAGTAGAACAAAGAACCAATTCTTTCATTTCTGTATTTATCTACAGATCCTTACGACTAACACATCTAAGCATTGTGCAAGAGACATTACTAAAAGCAATGAAGCTGGTATACTTGACTTATCTTCAAAGTGCTAAACACGACAGGATAAATTACACAAGTCTCTGCTCTCAAGAAGCAGAAACCACTCAAATCGACCTCAAGTAATTTGACAAGCGGCTCCACAGTTACTCAGAGGAACTGAAACCATAATCTGTTTGGTTTCAAGTTCTTAGTTCTTCATCAAAATGACAGGGTAGAGGAAGAAGGAAAGAGGAAGGAAGAGGGGTCAGAGGTAAGCAAGGACAAGAGTCAAACTAAACTCTGTTAAGGATCGGAAATAAACACAGCCACAAAACCCTGCCCACCTTAGGGTGGGGAGGGAGGTGAGGACCTCACGCCCTGTCAAATGGGATCCACACGCAGCGATTTGGGGTGTGGTTATACCCTTCCCTGGCCTTCCAGAGCTCCCCTAAACCTGGCCCCATCCCAGCCAGGTGCAGAACCTACACGACCCGAGGAACGTAAGGAGCACCTTGGTGAGCGCGAGCGGCCGCTGGCCTGGGCCCGGGGCGTTCGCCTCCCGGGAGTACCTATGTGCGGCCGCCGAGCTGCCGGGGACCCCGGGCCGCTGGGGAGAGCCGCAGCCGCACGAGCCCGCGAGGGACGCCGCGCCTTCTCCAGCCCTGGCCTCTTCGCTCCCCGCCGCCCCGCACACCAGCAAGAGCAGCGGCACCAGTAAGATACGAGCCAGCCGGCTGCAGCACCCAAAAGCCTCTCCTCGTGCGGGCGCAGCCATGTTGTTCCGTGAGTCATGTGATACGTCCGGTCACGTGGCCCGCCCTCCTTAAAGGGGTGGCCTGGGCTGGCTTAAGCAGTGGGCCAGGAAAGCTTCCAGGTAGTTTAGTGGGAGTTCTGCTAATGTTAGAACTGCGGAACACAGTAAAACACTTTACAGACTATGAACCCCTCGGTGATTTCGTGGTTGAAAAATAATAATCATATTTATTCAGCATTTGCTAAGTATGAAATAAGCACTCCATTTTTTAAATTCTCATTTAAGCTTCACAATGATCCTGGAATATTGGGTTGATACAACTCTTAAGTGACTTGCACGAATCACACGTGGCAACTAAGCGTCAAATGCAAGACTTAAATCCAAGGAATCTGACTTGAAATTCTCAATTTGAACCATTATAGGGCAATTCAATAAATGGTCCCAAACAGGAAGTAGATGAACAAATTGAAGAACAGTATACCAGCGGGTAGATTTAGGTAAATCTAGATGATTGAATTATGCAACAGCCATTCTCAAAGTTTTGTCCCACACCAGCAGGGTGGGCATCACCTAGTACCTTATTAGGAATGCGATATTAAATCCAAATCTCTGGGAAAAGAACACAGCAATTTGTGATGTCTTTGTGTGTGTGTGTGTGTGTGTGTGTGTGTGTGTGTGTGTGTGTGTGACAAAGAGAGAGAAGGAATGTGTGTATATATGAGTGGTGTATGCGCACATGGCCAGGGTCCCCATGTTGACGCCAAGGTCTGAGGAGGAGGTCAAATATCCTGCTCTATCATTTTCTGCTTTATTCCTTGGAGACAGGATCTCTCACTGAACTTGGAGCTACATTGGTGCCCAGGAAACTCCAGTGATCCCCTCCTGTCTCTATTGCTTCTCAAAGCACTAGAGTTACAGGTGCCACCACGCCCAGGTTTCTATGTTGGTGCTGCAAATGAAACTAGAGTGGTAACACTTGCACAGCAAGTGTTCTTATCCACTGAGACATCTCCCACCTGGGTCTTCTTTTCTTTTACTGCTTTTTGAAAGGTACTATGTATCCTGCTTGATCTGAAACTTGCAATGTAGACAACCTAGCCTTAAATTTTCAGCAACCATCTTGCCAGGTGTTGGGATCACAACAGTGTACCACTATGCCCAGCTGCATAGTTTTAACAAGTTCTCCAGATAATTCCAATGCACTCCAAACATGTTTGTTTGCTTTTGACAGACTCTGGTTATATACTCCAGGCTGGCCTTGAACTCTTCACCCTGCTGCTGTGGCCTCTAGAGTACTGGTGTTACACACCTGAGCAACCACAACTGGCTCACATTAAAGTTTAATAATGATTGTTCTACAGTTTCATCAGCAAACAGAATGCAAGACCAAAACAAAAATAAAATGAAAATGGAACCTACAGATCAAAATAACACACCTGTGGTCTGGGGTGGTGGTACCTGGTCTTAATCCCAGCTATTCAGCAGGTTGAGGCCAGAGTCAGGTAAGCCTGTGAGCTTTAGATCGGTCTGAACTCTGTCTAAATAAAACCCAAAACCGAAACAAAACAAATAAAGGATTTAATAACCAAATGCAATATATGTAATATGTGCTATTGAGGATTTGCTTCTGCAAAAATGGGTCAAACAGGACAAATGGGACAAATGGGCCATGAGGTGATAATTGTTATAGCTGGCTGCTAAATATGTGAGTGCCTACAGAACTACTGTTTCTGTGTTGACATATATTTGACTTCTTTACCATAAACCCTTTCCTCCATGTTGACTATTTTATATGTTTGCCAAAACTCCACACATCCTGTCTTTTGATATTGCAACCACTTGTCAAGAAACCTATTACTATTCACATTGCTGTTCTGTATGCCTCTTGTGTCTTGATAAGTATCTCTTTCCTTCGATTTGGGAAGTTTTCTTGTATGGTTTGTTTAAAATGTTTTCTGTGCTTTTGACTTGTGTTTCTTCTCCTCCTATACCTATGATTTGTAGGCTTGGTCTTCATTTCATTTTTTAACTATTTTATTATTTTTGTTTTATGTGTGAATGTATTGCCTTCATGTATGTAAGTGCACCTGTGTCATGCAGTGCCCTTGGAGGTCAAAAGGGGGCGTCCGATCCCCTGGATGTGGAGTTACAGATGGTTTTCAGCTGCCATGTGGGTACTGAGATTCGAACCCAGGTCTTTTGCAAGAGCAGGCAGTGCTCTTAACTGCTGACTCATATCTCCAGTCCCATACTCATTAAAGGAAAAATACAAGAAGATACTCCATTCCAAAACACAAGGGCAACCAATTTCATAAAAGAAACTATTCTAGCTAAAGCACAGGTTGACTCCAAAACAGTGATAGTGAGTGGCTTCATTGCCTCACTGTCACTAGTAGACAGGTCATACAGATACTAGAGAAATTCTGGAGTTAAATGACATCATAAATCAAATGCACCTAAGAGACACTTACAGAACTTTCCACCCAAACACCAAAGAATACATATTTTTCTCAGCATTCCATGGAACTTATTCCAAAATTAACTACATATTACAGCTGTGGTGGTTTGAATGAGAATGTGCCCCATAGGCTCCAAGTATTTGGACATTTTTGGCTGCAATTGGCGGTGCTGTTTTAGGAGGTCTTAAAGGTGTGACTGTGCTGGAGGAAGGCTTAGAGAGTTCTTAAGCCTTACCAGATCTCCATTCGCTCTCTTGCTTCCCGTACCTGCTAGAAGATGTGAGAGCCTATCTTAGAGCTTCTCTTAGCTTCCTCTCCTGCTTTAGCCACCCCTGACCACCATGCCTCACTGCCATGAGTGACTGTAATTCCCCTGGAACCATAAACTCAAATAAACTCTTCCTTTTATAAGTTGCTTTGGTCAATGTTTCTAGCACAGCAACAGAAAAGTAACTAAGTATTAGGGCACAAAGGAAGTCTCCACAAATTTAGGAAAATTGAAATAACACCCTGTATTCTATCTGACCACGAAGGAATGAAGATATACAAACAAAAATAGAAACGGGAAAAGTGCATAAACTCATGGAAACTAAATAACATAATACTGAATGAAAATTGGATCAGGGAGAAATCAAAAAGGAAACTTAAAAATTCCCGCTAGAATTGAGTGAAAATGAAAATACAACATATAAAAATCTATGGGACACAAAGAAGGCAGTCCTAAGAGGAAAATTGTAGCATCAAGTGCCTACATCAGAAAATTATAAATACTAATAATTCATTAATAAAGATGCACCAGGTCCTGGAAAACCAAGAACAAACAACACGCCTAAAAACAGTAGATGGGAAGAGATAAATAAAATCAAGTTTGAAATCAATGAAATAGAAACAAAGAAAACAATACAAAGAACCAAGGAAACAAAGAGTTGGTTATTCAAAAATATCAACAAAATTGAAAAAACTTTAGTCAAATTAACCAAAAAAAGAGAAGGCTCAAATGAATAAACTCAGAGATGAAAAGGGAAACTTTACAACAGCTCTGAGAAAATTTAAAAATCAATATGATATAATTTAAAATCTGCATTCCACTAAACTGGAACATCTTTTAAAAAAGGATAAATTTCTAGATATGTATGGCCTATCAAAATTAAATAAAAATTCCATAAGTAATTGATACATACCCATAACAACCAATGAGATCAATGCAATGATTAAAAATTTCTCAACTAAAAGGAGCCCAGGACCAGATGGAGTCAACACAGAATTCTACCAAACCTTCAAAATAGAATTAATACCAACAGTCCTCAAATTATTTTATAAAGTTGAAAAGGAAGAAACACTCCTAAATTACTTATATGAAACCAGCATTAGCCTGATAAAACTAGACAAAGACCCAACGAAAAGGAAAATTATAGGCCACTCTCTGATGAATATAGATACACCAGATATCAATAAAACACTTACAAACTGAGTAGGAGGACACATCAAAAATATTATACACCATGATCAAGTTTTGCTTCATCCTAGAGATGCAGGAATGATTCAACATATGTAAATTAATAAATGTAATCCACCACATAACCAGAATCAAGGACATAAATCACATTGTCATCTCATTAGGCAGAAAAGGCCTTTGACAAAATCCAATGTCCATTCATAATAAAAGTCATGGAGAATCTAAGGATACAGGGGACATATTTCAATACTATAAAGCCAATATACAACCAGTCCATAACCAACATTCTACTAAATGGGTAAAAACTCAGAGCATTCCCATTAAAATCATAAGGCAAGATGATATGATTCTATACATTAAAAAAGTACTTAAAGACTCTGCCAGAAAACTCCTAGAACTGATAAAGCCAGTCAGTAAAGTATCAGGATACAAAATTAACACACAACAATCAGTATCTTTCCAAATACCAACAGCAAACACACTGAGAAAGAAACCAGGAAAGTGATTCCATTCAAGATGGCCTCAAAAATAAAATGTCTTGGGATAAATCTAACCAATGAAGTAAAAGACTTGTATAATAAAAACTTTAGGACATTAAGAAAGATACCAGAAGATGGAAAGACCTTCCATGTTCATAAATCAATAAGATTAATATTGTGAAAATGGCCATCCTGCCAAAAACAGTCTACATATTCAATGACGTTCCCATTAAAATTCCAACACAATTCTTCACAAAAATTGAAAAAATAATCTCAAATTTCATATGGAAATACAAAAAACCCAGGACAGCCAAAACAATCCTAAACAATACAACAATTACTAGAAGCATCACCATCCCCAGTCTCAAATTATACTACAGAGCTATCATAATAGAAACAGAATGGTACTGGCATAAAAACAATACATTGATCAGTGGAATAGAATTGAGGACCCAGGTATAAGTCCATCCACTTACAGTCACCTGATTTTTGACAAAGGGAGAAAAATCACACATTAGACAAAAAACAACATATTATACAAATGGTGCTGGTCAAACTGGATAGCTGCATGCAGAAGAATGAAACTAGGCCTCAATTTCTCACCCTGCACAACGCTCAACTCTAAATGGATTAAATACCTCAACATATGGC